CCTTAAGTAAATCCATGTTTGATTCCTTCCCTTTCAGAAAACACACACACATTGTACTGACAGATGCAATTCCATCATCAGGTACTCTATTGGAATTTATACTAGAGTGACAAAATAATGCCTGGATATAATGTATAGTTCCCATATATTTTTGTATAGTCCTGAAAAAAATAATAATAATTCAAGTAAGCAATGTAGGACCACTGGCTAGAAGGGAAGGCTGTGGAAATGTTGTTGCTGCATCCATATCTGGAAAATGACAATTAATTAATAATCATATATGGCTGCATAAACTATAGGGCATACCAAGTGAAAAGCAAAGATCTTCCTACCAGGGATATCTGCACTGATCTAATTATAATCTAGGTAACTGTCAGATTCATTCCCTTAAACCAGACAAAAGTTGTAAGACATTGATATAAAATCATGTATTGTACTCCAGTTTGGAAAGCAATAGCTGTGCTCCATAGCTCTTTAGAATTCAGATGCATGTAAAAGCCTTACAGAAACATCAGTGGTTGCTGATGTCACTCATGTATTGTGTGCACCAAACTATTTGCAAGGAGATAGAGCAGAAATCCCATAGATTCCCCTATTCTTTATTTTTGAGAATTTGATAAAATAGTAGACTCAGCAATTTAGCTTCATATCTGTATGGGGAAGTATTGAATTACCCTGCATTAAAAAAAAGAATTGTGAAAACCATTAAATATTCAATCTGAATAGTGTCTAATTCTCATATTGGAATTTTTATAGGAAATTTTCACCCTGCATATATGAAGTAAATATAAAATAGGGAGTATTTATATTGCCAGGTCTTCTCTTTTGGAACAAAGAATATGGGAACCTATCGGATTAATATTATTAACAGAATAAAATAGAATTGATTAACACAGGCAATCCTGGAGTTACAAACATCCAACATACAAACAACTACTAGTTAAGAATGGGTGAGACAACAGGAAGCTTTATTCCAACAAGCCATTTTTTTCAAAATCCAATTATCACAGGAACAGAAAGTAAGGTGAAATCTTCCCAACAGGGGCACAGGCAGCAAAACAAACACACCACAGGGATGTTAACCTTTCCCTATGTTTTAGAAAGGTGATAGATAGATAGATAGATAGATAGATAGATAGATAGATAGATAGATAGATAGATAGATAGGGCTGGAGTTACATTTAAAAAATTCATCTTTTCCGACTTATAAACAAATTCATTTTAAGAGCAAACTTAAAGAACCTATCTGGTGTGTAACTTGGGGACTGCCTGTAGTGTGTAAAAGTGAGAGTAAATTGATATTGATACTTGTAAAACCAGATTGTCTAGTTTGCATAAAATTTAAGATGTACAAGAAAATATGGATTTTTTCAGGGAAAATGCAACTTTATTATTTTGTGGAGGTGCTCCTGTCTTTTTATATTCCCGAGTACAGTCTGTGGACACAGAAAGCAAGCCTTGCTCTAATAATGTCTGGCATTTTAAAAACGTGTCATCTCATCCATGTCAGTACATGAAATACCATTCAAAAAGAATCTTGATCTATACATAGATAAAATCAAAGAAAAATTTGGTGATATGTGTCTGTGCTCAGATGTGCAAGGCTAGGAGGCTTCCCTTTTAAAAAAAAGGTAATGGAACCTTCCTTCTTAACTGAATGTAAAGAAATCCCTATTTGGAGATTACTGCATTCTTTTGCTACAGAGATGTCCTGATTACAAGAAATCAGTTTGTTTTTTCCTTATGTACATATATAATTTCTGACACTGTCATGATAATATTTCTGATATAGGCAGTATTCAGATGTGATCAGTTTAGATTTCCTTCTTTACAGGTGCCATTCAGAACTATTTGCAAGAACAAGTTTGGTTTACTAATTGGAACAAATTATATATTGTAAGAAATACATAGACAACATACATAATATAAACTATTGTCTACAGCATATGGGAGTCAACCAGTCCATGTGGAAAATTTTCCTTATATTTTCCAGACATTATTCCTTCCTAGTGATTTCTTCTGCTCTTCTCAGAGGCATAATAGATTGCGTCTCCTCCTCAACATTATTTCTAGTTTTTCTTGTAGCTCCCATTTTGTTCATTTTGCTCCCATTCTGTATCCCTTTCTTACAACAACAACAACCTTTAAATACAAATTAATTACCATGTTCAAACATAGTACTTTAAAACAATGTCAGTTCAATAAAACTGTAAACAATATTTATTTATTTATTTATTTCCAGTATTTCTACCTCGTCCTTCTCAACCCCTGAAGGGGGACTCAGGACAGCTTAATTTGGCACAATTTGATGTCATTAAATATAAAAAAGCAATATAACAATTAAAATAATAAATAGAACATTAATTAAAACAATAAAAACAGTATTAACCGCCGTATCACCATTCCAATCAAATTCCATATCCACAAATTCCATATCCATGACTTTAATTTCTTCCTAAAAGACAGGAGGGATGAAGCCAGTCTTACCTTGTTGGAAGCGAGTTCCACATACCAATGAAAGTACTTCACAGACACCCTGTTAAAAATGCCCTTCTGTATAGTCATCAAATGCCTCTTCAGGTAAAAATGTCTGAACAGAATGGAAGCAAGAATAACCATAAGAACACTCTTTTCCATATCCATCCCATTCAAAGTGTATCATTAACAATACCTCTAAAGTCTTTCAGATAATTTAGACCTCAATTACCTAGGAGTAGGTCCTATCGAAAGTAACAAGTAGTCATGCATAGAATTGTATTGGTGGAAATCCAAATAGTGGGTGAAGTTCTGATGAAATTCAGGAGCACTCCTAATTCTGATTCATTCCATTACTGGTGTAAAACAAATCAAGTCTTGCTGTTAATCATTCTTTATCATACAATTAGACTAGTAGTGATTTGGTCTTATTGATTGATACAACAGTTTGGTGTATGCAACAGAGTACTTGTTGACATTCTTGCAGATTTCTAGGGGGAAAGGAGCAATCATCATCTTGCGAGCATGAATAGCAAAGCTCTTCCTTCTATTCTAGCATATGCTGGATGTAATTAGGCAGTCATCCAAACTCCCCCCCCCCCCCCCCCCCCCCCCCCCCCCCCGTAAACATCCTGAATCCATGACACATTGTGCTGCCTTCAGATGCTGCCAAATGCATAAATTTGTGTTCAGGTCAAAGAGCCTGAAAGGTATAATACAGATCTCAGAGGAGAATGCCCCACTTGTATGAGCCAGCCTGAGGGACTTGGTGTTCATTTTTAGAACATACAATTTAGACAACCTATACCTTCTTCTTAACAGAGGTGTGATAGGAAACCAGACACCATTATTTTCAGGGAGAGCCAAGTGGAAAGCGAGCCATCTTTATATGTCCTTTTCCAATATGAATATCAGTCATGAGGGTTTCATGTTAGGGTTAAATAAAAATGTCATCTCCATAGCATTTTGGGGTGCCTAATTTTTTGGGTGGGGAACAGGATATTTTCTCAAATATTTTCCAAAAAGAGAGAAAGCTTGAAAAGTTAAATGATCTTTTCATCTATTGGTTTTTAACCATGTGGGAGCCAAGGCCAGTTTTTCTCCAGACCACAGTGTGAGCTGTACCCCCATAGCAAGCCTAAATATATCTTTTTTGCTCTGCAGATCATCTCAAAATGGTGATACAAAGCACCATTGCCTCACTGTTACCATCTTGATAAGAACTTCAGGGGGAAAAATCAAATATTTGGGTGCTTGGGTGTGGGATGGGGTAGTTTAAAAAGTTTATGTCTGTGTGGTTTTGAGATTTTAAAAATGCATAAAATTGTGCCCTTTTAAAAGATGGGGTCATTGGGACCTTTTAGGGAGTATTAGAGGGCTTCAGGGGGCCCAAAAGTGTAGTACAAGTATGTAACCCCTATGTAGCACACATTTCTTTTTCTTTTTTAAAAAGTATACATATTCTCTGTATAACTATGCAACTGTATGCTCCACATCCAGGTAAGCTGTGTAGACTGCAACCACAAGTAAGTATCTTATTGGTTTGCTGAGAAAGGAGATAATACTTTTTATATAAGCAATGCAAGAATATTCCTGTTTTCTGCACATGAGTTATCATTCCTCTAAACCAAATTTCCCAGCATTCCCTATAGCAAATGTTACATTTAACTATATAATTACCTTTCTGTTATTACTAATATTTCTAGGTCTGGAGCTTCTCAGACCTCTTACAATCTCCTAGTGGAAGGTGGAGGACTGATGATGGCATTGAGCATATCTATTAATTATCTATCATGGTTGCATATAGCCCATCATTGATTTTTTTTAATGAGGTGTAACCAATGAGGCAAAACGGGGGCGAAGGAGCAATTTTTGGAGTCTCTATAGAGCTTTTCTTAAACAGATTGCCGCCATCAGGGCCAGCAGCATAAAGTAAATGAAAATATAATTTCAAGGCAGTGCTCTCACCCTGAGATTCCTTCCCTTCTGTTGTGACTTGGAGAAGAAAGGCCCTGAGATCTGGGAACTTTTGCTATCACCCAGGAAGCTTTTTTTCATTCTTGCAGAGGAGATTCATTCATTCATATGCACAGCTAATATAAAATTCACAGAGTGGAGTGTATGGAAAACATGCCTCTTCACCACTCCTTTTCTAACAATGGGAAGGCATGGGCTGCAATCAGCAACACACTGACTAATGAAAAAATTGCAATCAACCAAATCAGATTTTCTTCCAAGTAAACATACATTTGGTAAGGATGCTACGTGTAGGCACAGTTTAAAAAAAACCAAGAAAAATATTCAGAGATAGGCATTGGCTGGGCTTACCCACAGAGAAATAGGGTTTTATCTGTGTTTAACTGTAACACTGTAAAGATATGGTGGAATTAATAAGGTAATGATAATGTGTTCTTCACATTTAAAGGGCTAGAGTACTTTATAAGAGTTTCCTTGAACATTTTTGAAGCTGTTAATAGACTGGAAATGTTGGCATTACCTAAATTAGGCAATTTATTTGTTTCTAGGTATGGCAGTGTGGTGGTAGCGTTGAAGTGCTGCCCTGCTCTAGGATTGCCCATATTGAACGAGCCCATAAACCGTATACAGAAGACCTAACTACTCATGTCCGAAGAAATGCACTAAGAGTGGCCGAGGTCTGGATGGATGAATTTAAAAGCCATGTTTATATGGCATGGAATATTCCCCAAGAGGTGGGTTATGAATAAAGACTGTTATGGCCAAGAAACCTTAATTCCACTTCATCAACAAGTTCACAGCGAATACCTTTGATGAGACCTAACAGACTATTGCCAACTATAAATGAGAGCCTTCCAAGATGAGGAACTGTTGTGATGTTCCCTCATCACTCTGGTATTAGGAAAGTGAAGAGAGAAGTTTATTTACTGCCATGCCATGCCAGTCTAGCTGCAGCATTCAGACTAGCACCAAAGAAAACATATACCTAAGCATTTATGGTAGCTCAAACCTACCAAGCACAGCATGTGAATATCTGAAACCGTGGATAATAGTGACATCTATATTTTGATTATACTTAGGCTGGAATCATATCATTGAATATTACTGAAAGACCTAGAGAGATCCCCAACACTTTGGGGGGGGGGGGAAGTGGATATTTTTTGGAGCATGTATAATGGAAACTGGATTTTGAGTCCACAGATAAAGGGGATCATACTAAATCGCAGTCTTAGGAATACACTAAATGTTTGTTAAACATTTGCGAAATTATCAAAGTGAGCACAAAGTTAAATATGCTATTTTGCTTGTATTTCAGTTTTTTACTACTATTAATAGAAAGTCAATTGTGGAATCAGGGTGTTCTGGAAATGCTATCTACTTAGATATGGTTTCCTGTATGTTGAAATAATAAGTTACATTTTTATGTTTTTTGCATGTAGGCTTATTCTAGCTTGAAACTTCATATAGGTTCTTCAGTATTGTTTCAAAGGTTTTCTCACAGTGTAAAAATACTAGTTAGGGGAAACCTAACTCTGATGTGCAAGCTGAATTAGAGTAAACTCATGGAATAGTGGGAATTCAAATATTAGCATTTCCAAGCACTAAGGTTTGCCTAAAGAAGAACCCCTAGTTTCAGTCAAAATTTCACTTTGAAATTTTGAAGTTCGGTAGCAGTTTTAAGTGCATTTAAAAACTCCAAGGCACCATAGTTCTTGTAGAGAAGTATTGCAGTCACCTCATTCACCTGAAACACATAGCTTCTTTTGCAGTAAACAATGATAAAAATAGTAGTTAATTCATAATTAGAATTAATATTTTTTTTACATTTGACTAAGCGTCTGTGATGTCATCACAAACATGCCCGAAATTCAAGATTAGTCCCATGTCTTTTTTTAAAACATCCTTACAGTCTATTATTACAGTGTTATAGCCTGATTCCAGAATGAATGAATAGTTGCGTAGAAGTTCTCAAAGTATACAAAACTGTACAGTCCTGTGTACATCCATTGAAATGTAAATCTAGATAAGTTTATTAGGACTTAATCTGAAGAAAATGTGCTTAGATTGCATCTTCAGTTAGGATATTCAGTACAAATAACATGACAGGATAATTGATTGCTAACTACAATGGTTTAACCATATTTTCCTCCTGGACCAGGTCAAGAATTCTACACCACTGCTTCTTAAACTGTTAGTCCCAACACCAATTGGGGACCCCTTAACTCAATGCTGGGGTCACAAAAAAAATGGCAACAGTAAAAGGTTTCTGAATGCCACTCATTTACACAAATCTCTTAGCAACAACATTCAGTGTTTACAGTTGACTCTGTAGAAAATGTTTCAGCTGTATTCCACAGAAAATAAAATTATCTTGATTAGTAAACCATGCAAATGCTGATTTATTATCAATAAATGTTTGATTTTATATCAATTTTTATACGTATATACTTGGGGTCATGTAAATATTTCTCAGGTAGAAAGGTGTCACAAGGGGAAAAGGTTTAAGAAAACCTATTCTACACCATTTTGTTTCCAAGCATGGGTATCTAGAAACCTTTAGAATACAGATGTGTGACTTATGCCCCTCCAGCTGTTGCTCCCATAATCCCTCACCAAAGGTATGCTATGAGGGCTGCTGCTGAGCTACAACGTATCTTTCTCTATTCCCGAGCTCACCTCTGTGTGTTGATGATCATAGCAATCATCTCCTGTAATTTCTCTTCAGTATTCAACCTGCATTCTGGTAGCACGTGTAGTGAGCCAGATAGTTGTTGCTGAGGATCTGAGCTACGTGATGCAGGTCTATAGCAACATAGCTGCAAGGGTACATACATTCGCCGTGGCTTGTTTTTTTCCTGAAGAGTCAGAACAGGACAATGTCATAAGGCATTTCCAACATTGCTGTATTTTGTTTTTTTGCTTTATGTTAAGTAAGTTCTAATGCACCTACCTTGCACAGACAATTTGTTTTGTAGTTGCATCATGGAAAGCATATGAAGGAATCAAGACTCTCAAGGCTCACATTATATTGACCTGGCATAAAGATTACAATAGTCTTACCTAGCTTCAGATCATATTCCCGTTTTCTTTGGCCTTAGATAATACTCCCTATTCCAGGAAATGAAAGAATTACATCTGGAGAATATCTGAATGGGAAAGAATAAACTAGAGATAGTGGGGGGGGGGGGGGGTGTGTGCAGAGATTATTAGGTGCTTGCAGAAACAGGTTAAGGGTCCTTAATAAAAAGAGGTTTCCTTAGAACTGCACTGATACTCCCTTAAGGAAGAGAATTTGACATTACCCATACTTATATTATATTTAAGCATATGAACTGTGCTTAGATGACTCATGTATTTCAAAGTCCATGTATTTTGGTGTCTTTTCTGCTTTAAGAAGTAACTGCCTCCTCCAAAAAGTAGGACATATTTTGAAGGGAGGGTCCACTTTGCTTACAAATTCTAGGTGGAAAATAGGTTTAAAAGATAATTTTGCATATTCTATATAAAAAAAGGATTTACTGAAACGGTTAATGTGTAAAGAAACCCAGTACTGTTTTTTGTCTGGCAGATAATATTTTCTGCTTGATTCAGTATACCTATATCTACTTTCAGACTTATCATTTTTTTTTCATATATGCCAGTTGAGAGACAGTAAATTGCCTAAGGCCAGCTAGTGGGTTTCTATGACCAAGAGGGATTTGAACCCTGGTTTCCATGGGTGTCATACTCAAAACACTACACTACGTCTTACTGTTTGCACTTCTCCAGTTTCCAAGTTATCTGTACAGTCATAGGGGTGAAAAACGGGATTTTAGGGACTTGCATTCTTAGTACTATATTGAGCTGCAAAAAAAATCACTGAAATTGCTTATGGACATAATGCCCAAAGGTGATAAACTTTGAGGATTGTATTTAATTCTACAAATATTGACAAAACAAAAAAAATATAGAACAGTCAGAAAATATGCAAAGAAAATGCTAGATTTTAAGATCATGTACCTGCCATAACTAATATAATGTAAGACGAGTTAACCTTTAAATAATGTTAAAAGAACCACAAGAGAATGCAATACCTGAGGAGGTGGGGGGGGGGGGGGGGGGGGGGTGGTCTCTTTTTGCAGAAGAAGAAGCCTGGAATCTAAACTGGATTTTTCCAATAAACTAAGTCAGTGTATTAATACAATTTTTCTCAAATACTATTGAGAACTTAAAGATGCAGGTATTTCTCACACAAAGCAGACAAATTGCAATTACAGTAGGAAGACAGGTTATTTGCCTTGGGCTTATCTCGTGTCTTTGCTCCTTTCCCACTACTCTCCCAGTGGGGCCCCTTTCACACAGCTCTATAAAATCCCTCATCATCTGCTTTGAATTGGATTATATGGCAGTGTGGACTCAGATAACACAATTCAAAGCAGACATTGTGGATTATCTGCCTTGATATTCTGGGTTATATGGCTGTGTCGAAGGGCCCTGGGAATGGACTAGACATGTTTTTTACAAACATAGATAAACAGTTAATGACCTCTGCTTGTAAAAGAAATACAGTCCAGCTATCTCCCATCAGGGAAGTGGCAGAAAAAGAGTGATGCTCCATGCAATAAACTCCATGTTCTGGTGTTCTGTATTGCAGTTAACTTATTTACGCATCTGTAAGTACACCATATTCATCAATGAATGTGGCACTATTGTAATTATTGTAACTGTCCCTCATGCCTACCTTGCTAGACAACAGTTACACTAAGAGATGGAGGTGATTGGCGCTCAGGAGGATGACATTTCCTCCCACCAGTGCCTAAAACTACAGCTAGCAAAAACATAACCCCTGCTTCAATTCCTTGTCACATCCTCACTTACTGGCAGGAGGAAGGTTGAAATGTCATCCTTCAGTCCTATGATCACCAGCAGAAAGGACTTCCATCTTTCAGTGCAGACCCTGCAGGGAAAATTTGAGCTGAGAAGGTTTGAACCATGATAACTGTTTTGTTACACATACAGTTGACCTTTTGTATTAGCAGGTAATGCTTCTAGGGGTTCATTGAACCATGGTTCAATTTTTTACAAAAATCCAAAACTGAAGCCTTAATTTCACAATTTTACTATGTCATTGCATGAGATTTAAGCATCCATTATGTTGGTGTATATGGGAGATCCTGGAACCAAACCACAATGAATACTGTGTTCATAACGAAGTAGATAATAAAATTATTTCATAATAGGAATTTTCTTCTTTAGAGCATTTCATGACATATTTCAAATTGTATTGATATATCTTACTTTACTAACTAGATATAAAAATCTTCACATACCGTATTGTTATGTACATATAGGAATCAATAAGTTCATAAGCCCCACTCCCACCCTGGGATAATTATACAAAGATTTCAGTGATCATTTGCTCTTTGGACTTTAAAAAAGATTATTTCTACGAAATAAATTGGTTCTTGTGCAAAAACGGTACTTTTTGCTCAAAAAAGGTTTTTTGGAAGCACCAAAAATCATGTTATGTGCCCCAAAAAAAGCAAATATTTTTGCTCAAGCAAATTGGGTACATTTAGAAAAGTCTCAAAGAGCAAAAAAGCTCATGGACAGTTAATGTATTGTCATGGGCAGTCCTTGTTTTCTGAGTGAGTGGAGTCATTGTTCATGACAGTCCTTTTCTATTTAGGTTGGCCAAGATTATGAAAACACTCTATGTCTCTGGACGTTAACTATATTGTTACCTCTCTTTTTTGGTCTTTTGGTCATTCATTTGTTGTGCCAACCTTCCAAAGGCTCAACAGAAAAAGAAATCTCAGTTTTTTTTCTAGAAGGTTATGAGGACTGCAGGTAGTTGTTATCTAAACAAGACTCTCTAATCTATCAGAGGACAATATTTTATGTAAAGTTTATTTGTTTTGTAGTTTGAATATTTTGAGCTGTGTGCAAGGATGTAATCTACAGTAAAAATGTCTCATTTTACTTCCTGTCAAACAGCAGCCTGAATTTGCATTTAGATGCCTCTGCTGTATAGGTATAATGAGATAAATTATTGATCTCCACTTACAGAGCTGTATTACAGAAGGCAAGACTTACCCATAAAATGTAATAAAAAAGAAATGTGTGTGTGGGGGGGGGGGACACAGGGACTGTAAATTCATTTACAAAAGTATTTGCTAAACTCTTCATATGAACATCAAAGGTAATAAGAAGACTGGTCAACTGTCTGAAGGTGAATATGATTTTTGTTCTTTACAATGAGAAAAGAAAGCTTAATATTATAATTCACTTGCTAATGGAATCTGTAAAACAGGCCATATTTCTGCCAACAGAAATGTGTTTTCCAAGACTACTGTTTAGCCCTCATTGTATTGAAATCTGTAAGCCACTTTAAAGACATTGTTGCTGTGGAACCTCATTAAAAATCCACTAAAGCCAATGAGAAGTGTTCCTTTGATTAAGCAAGGACTCAGGATTGAGATCCAAAATGACATTTGAATATGAAATTTAGAAAGTGAAGTATTTTAATCACATTGTGGTGCATATCCCTCTGTTGCTTTATTGTGCTGAACTGTACAAAGTGGACACAATGATAAAATGAACACTCTGTGACTGTGAATAATCTCTCTGACATATTTTTTTCTGTCCCATTTGCACAGGATTCTGGAATTGACATTGGTGATATTTCCGAGAGGAAAGCTTTGAGGAAAAAGCTGCAATGCAAGACCTTTAGGTGGTATCTTGTCAGCGTGTACCCAGAAATGAGAATGTACTCGGACACGGTGGCCTATGGGGTGGTAAGGTTTCTGTTTTATTTACCTTGATTGTTCATAGGAAGACAGCAGGGAGGAATACTTCCTGCAGATGAACTGTTCTTCCATGTTAAAGTCTTGGGGCAAATTGTGGGCCTTTTATAACTAAGTAGTGACCAGAGGAGTAGTGAGTAGTAGGCATGGAGTATACTCTACCTGATATATACTCTGCTTCATTTTATCTTTTTCTGCTTTATTTGTGTCCTTATATTGCAAAGAAAATTGACTGCATTTTTAGAAGTTGCTAATTTGAGTTGCCATAAACATATATCCTTACCAAAAAGAAGCTTGCTGATAGCCAATGTGAATATAAATCTGCTTCAGGCATGTAGGCAAAGAAATATTGGCAATACTTGTTACTTCCTTTCCTCTATTGTTGGGTTATAAAAGATTACCATGTATGGATAGCCAGGCTAATATAGTCTCTTTTGAATGTATCTACAATGCTAACCAAAGGTATGAATAAGTTCAGTTTCCCTTTCATTTGCATAACTTCCTATAAATTACCTGAAAACATGTTCAGTTATTCAGACCATGCAAAAGAATAAGCTGATACAAATGTGCATACCATTCCAATGATGTTGTGAATTGTGAGTGTACCAAAGTCAGATGTGAATGAAAATAGTTTCTTCTGATCCTGGGAATAATGCACGTTTCCCACAGTACTGTGAGCCACATTAGATACTAAATAGGAAAAAGTAGGCCATCATATTTATTTATTTATTTGTTTGTTTGTTTGTTTTGAACATTTATAACCTGTCCTTCTCAACCCCCGAAGGAGAACTCAGGGAGACTTACAACTGGCAATCATTAGATGCGAACAAACAAACAATTGCAGTGCAAATAATCAACATTAAGTAAACCAACAAGATTATTAAAAATACATTAAAATATTGACCATTAAGTATTAAAACACAACCAACCCTAAGTCCCCAAATCATGGTAATTCTAATTTAAAGATTTGTATAGTGTCCTTCAACTTTTAAAAATTTCAACAAAAAACAATGATATTTTGTACACAATACATTTCTCAACTGCAAATAATACTTTCTCACAGTAAGAAAAATGGTTAAAAGTACTAATTGCTTCATTTGGGAATTAAATTTATCTATAATTACATCCTTGTTATCAACAAATAAGTAACATTTTTTAAAAAGAAGTATATTGTTGAATATGCTTTCCATCCAACACCACAAAAAGATATTCTAGTCCATTTTTTTCAAATACAGATACACATTTGTCCTAGATAGTACAGTATTTTGTAAGTATTTCCATTGCTATCTTTCCTTGAAACATTTCACAAAGGCTTTCCAAGGAAAGCCTTGGAAGAAAAGCAGGAGATAGATACAAAATTTGCTGATTTGGTGAAGCAATGTTTTTATAGGATAGGAAAAGTGCATACAGGTCATCTCATGTCCTATAATGGTACTCACAGAGGAAGCCACCGAGGAGGCAATCAATTGAGTTTTCCAGAACAGAGTTTCACATCATAAATGCCAATTGCTCTGCTTAGATGACAATGAGATATGAAACAGTTACTCAGTCACCATATATGGGCTCATATGTGTGAAACTGGTTGTTCAAACAACCAGGGTTCAAACCACTTGATGCTATGTAATGAACATTTAGCCTAGAAATGATTGGGCAATCAATGGAGTGAACACAACTACCTTCTGTCAACCATTGTATTCCGAAAATAAATTCTTTGAAGGATTTATTTTATGGACTCCAACTCATAAAATATTTTAAATCATTTTTCATTTTAATAGTGGTGCTCATTGCTTATGTTTAACATTATTCTCACATAATCAACACATGAATCACAGATGGAATAAAGCCCACCATTAAAAATGTGAGATATTTGTTTTAGCTAATAGAAAAGAGCTACAATCAAAACTAATAAAATGGATTGTTCTTGGGCCCAGTCATTATTGTATGTAATCAAAAGTAAGTCCCATCACATTACACTTAATGAGATTCACTTGCAAACAAATGCATGCTTAGCATAGCAAGCAGAAATGGCCACCGGCAATAAAAGTTGCATGTTTGTTAAAGACTTCACTTCTTAAGTGACAAGAGATACGAAGTTGGCCCAGAATCTCATAAAAAGTGAATAGAATTCTCATTTAATAGAAGACTGTTCTTATTGTTAGAAGTCATGCTTAAGGCCTATTTGATCATAGATATAAGTGGGGAAAGTAGAACACACTAGAGGAATAACTGAATTTTCTGTCACACACTTGTTGGATTAATCCAACATTTCTTTGACAGGCATAAATTAAAAGTACAGATCAGCTCTGCAAAGGTATAAAAATCTCAACCAGGATTCTCACATCAGTTCTGAAGGAAAGCTGGAATACTAACGGATAGTTTACAAGACATGAAATTATCTTGACATTATAGAGATCAAGGAATGCAGCTGTTCATCTTGTATCCGATTGTGCTTTTGCCACACTATGGGCATTAGCTACTTCATATAACTTGTTCTCTTTATATGACAATTTACATTTTTTGGATATTGGTCCAGTTGGTTAGGACTTCACTAGTTTTCATCCATACAGATACATTATTTTTAGAGGATTTGCTCATAGAGCAAAGAGTTCAGAATCTATGATTGAATTCATGCTTTTCTTTCATTGAAGGAACCAAGGGAAACTTTATTATATCATGTTAGATCACTGGTCCAGCTAGCTCAGTAGCAATATCTCTCCAGGGTTCCATAGAGGAGTATTTTCTAATTTCTACATATGCAGCGCTCTACAGGCAGTCCCCAAGTTATGAACAAGGTTCTGTAGGTTTGTTCTTAAGTTGAATTTGTATGTAAGTCAGAGCAGGTACATTTTTAAGTGTAACTCCAGCCTCTATTTATCTGTCTGTCTATCTATCTATCCATCATCCATCTATCTATCTATCATCTATCTATCTATCTATCTATCTATCTATCTATCTATCTATCTATCTATCTATCATCTATATCTATCTATCTATCTATCTATCTATCTATCTATCTATCTATCTATCTATCTATCTATCTGAGCTTTGGATAGCATAGGGAAGGATTAACATCCCTGCAATGTTTGTTTTTCTTTCTGTGCCTCTGTTCAGAAGACTTCACCTCACTTTCTGTCCCTGTGAGAATTGGATTTTGAAAAATTTTGCCTGTTGTGGTAACACTGATGATGAAGCTTCAGTGGAGACACCTTTTCCTCATGATAACTCTTTCAAGAGTGAATTTCCCTTCCTAGGGATAGATTTCTCTCATTTCCTGTTTTTAACTTCAAGATGTTTTTAAGTTGGATCTTTGTAACTCAGGAACTGCCTGTATTTCAAAAGAAGGAAGCAACCTACCTAAACTTGCTGATTTTTTTTTACTACAACTCTAAAATCCCTGCATTAATGCAAACTCACCAACTATTTCCACACCATATAGGCCATTGATGTCTTTTTTATTTTATTTTGGTCTTCTAGATATTATCCTATCAAAAGAAGTTGTTGTTTTGGAACATGGCTCAGAATGTTTTGTACTTGTTAGACAAATTCAGAATGACTAAGAACTTAGAAACTATTTTCATCAACATGGCTATAACTCCTTTCGGGGATGTAGAGAAGAGCAGAGTCATTCATGTATTATCATCCTTTCTTTTATCAGCTCCTGAAGAAGACCATTAAATATTACTAGGCTGAAACCCATTGGGCTAATTTGAAAAGTGAAATAATATTTTTGAACACCTTGAGTCTTTGTCTCTTTACATTCTCCTCTATTGGGCATTACCAGTCCTTGTTGCTCTCTCTACCTTATTAGGCCTTATGATCACTTTTTGACCTTTCTCCTTCAGGCACAGAGGGCTACTATGAGTAAAAATGGATAGTGATTTTTTTCTTTAGTTAGCTTTCTTCATTACAACAACAGTCCCAATCCATTCACAATTCCCTCTGTCAGAGGCACAGATGATAACTGCTATGAGGTCTGACTCTGCTTAGTTTCCAAGGTCAGTTGGGATCTGGAGCTTTTATGAGATTTAGACCTTAGTGAGACATAATACATTGGTACTGAGCATTTCAGCACTTTCAGATGTGATCATATATAATATTTGTTCTATTTTAACATTTATTATTTTCTTTTTCTGTCTCTTGCTTTTCATTTCCCCATCCTCAATATTCTCTAGCTGCAGAATTCCCTAAAAAGTGATTTGTGCCTTGATCAGGGTCCAGACACAGAAAATATTCCAATCATGTATATCTGCCATGGAATGACACCACAGGTTAGTGAGACTAATGATCATATATCTTGCTGTTGATGTTAGTGAAATGTGTGGGTGGACTGGCAGTGAGTCTTTTTCTTCTAAAACATTACTTCCTTAGGCTGTTTATTAGATATATTTTAATGAACAGGAGCATTAACTGCACCATGATGTTGAGGATTACTGGTTTATTAATTAGAGGTTTGTCAAGAAGTCTGATTTATTCACTCTGGAAGAATCTGGAAAAAATCTCCAATAACAATGAAATACTGCTAAGATTTACCCACAATTGTTGGCATGGTTGTAACAGAGAGTGAACAGAGAGTTTGGATATACAAAAGGGTGTAAGACAAGGGCGTCCTTTGTTACCACTACTATTAATAATCATGATAGAAATCTTGTGTAGGAGAATTAGGCAGAATAAAACTATCCAAGGAGCAAGAATAAAGAGGAAAGAAAATAAATATAAGCTTTTGCAGATGATCTGGTTTATCTTTTTACCAAATAGAATACAAGAGGACTAAGGACAATGCAAAGAAGGATTATAGTGTTCAGGAATACTGGATACTTAATGTTATGTTATTGAAATTTGGTAGTGCATGAAAGGTTGTGTGTCTTTCACCCAGTGGAGTTAGCTCTCTTTTCCTGACTGCCTTTAATATTTACCACACGGTTGATAACATGCTAATTATAATTATGACTGATGTAGAGAATCAGAGAGCCTCATCCATCCTTCTTGTCCTGAACATGTTGGAAATTGTCCACCCTCTTTTTCTACGCCTTACACCTAGAAGTTTACTAATAAAAATCTCCTAGAAACATTCTCTTTCAGGGGATTTTTTAAAAATGACCTTCAGTGTTTTCTAAGTAACAACTCCCTCATTCACAATTGATGGAAAATCATTATTCTTGCCTGTCTCAGAATATTCTGTAACTCTGTTTTGATGTATCATTCATCTAAACCAGTGAGCCTAGAAACTCGCTGTTGTAGATTTGAATGGGCAAATTTTAATTAAATATGATTGTGCATGACACATACAAATACCAAAGCTTTCTTGAGAATTAGCATGATTTGGTATTGCTTCAAACTGTGTTGGAACCTAACGTAACCCGAATGAGACATTGCTAAACTATTTTGCAAGACAGTATTCTGCAAATTATTTTCAGAGGCTATAGCTTACATGAGCTTTCTTTTTATATATATAAATTTTTATTATATTTTATAATTTGTGACTGACATGACAAACATAACACACATGACAAACAGGAAATAACATCTATAAAACTAACGAACCGAACACCATATAACAACAACATGGTGGGGACGCGGGGCAGGACCTTTTCCGTAGTGGCCCCCCAACTCTGGAACACCCTCCCCAAAGACCTTAGACAGGCCCCGTCATTGGCTGTCTTCAGAAAGAACCTAAAAACCTGGTGTCATGAATCTAACCTTTTGCCAGGAAGGCCGAAGCCTGGAAAGTCAGTAGCTGACATGTTGAGAGACAGGCAGGAGAGCTAAGAGGCAAGAGGGAGGAGTCAGCCGACTCCTGATTGGCTAGAGCAATCAGGGGAGGAGTCAGGTTTTAGAGGGAAAAGGCTGTTTCTTTTTGACAAGCTGGAAGAGTGTAGAAGGATAGTTAGGAAGAGGGAGCTGAGAAGATTTTAGGCAGGGAGGGAAAACTTTTGTAGTGAGCCTTGTAATTAGAGCATAGGAAAGGCAAAGGTTCCTGAAACACTGTACTTAGTAGGGTCAGTGTAGGAAAGCCTATTTTGCTCTGTGAGGCAGTCAGTTGGCCGTTCTCAGGGACACACTGTGTCAGTGTAGTGAACAGTGTGAAGCAAGGAACTCACAAGAAACAAAAGTTAATAGTCTTAAGAGAAGACTGCTTGTCTGAACAGCTAAGCCTCAAGTAACCGCATTAAGCTTTTGTACCACTCTTATTAAGAGTTGTTTGGTTCACCAAGTTTAAAATAAACCTGTTTACAGTTTCATCCTTAAACTGGTGTCTGCCTCGGTCTGTCACAATCATCAGATCTCAGCAAGTCTAAAGAAAACTAATTTTAGTCCAGTCAGCGAAAGAAGCAGCCATTAAAGAAGAACAAAGGGCTTAAACCTATTTTACAATTCCACATTCACACTTATGTTTTCCTCAGACATTAATTGAGGTGGTGGCGGCAAATCTACCTAATACATCGGTCATTAACAACGTTAAATCAGTTGGTCACTTAACAATATTTCTGAGGTGGGATAAGAGAGTCTTTCCCCCTTTGTCACAGCCATATATCCTCGTTAAAGTAGTGTCCAGCTGAATGTTAACCTTCACACTGCTGGGCAGTGGGTTGTGATTGCTTGTCCCCCCTGCCCAGCCTGTACGCTTATCTTCGTTACACCTGGCTTTTCTGATGCGCCTTCCCAGATTAGGAAATCTCTACTACTGAATCCCACAAGCACTTTACCAGAACATCGCACTTGCCCTAGAAACCCTTTATACACCTCCTGTCAAACCAGCACTTTTAAGTCTTGTACCCACTTTTTGGCCCGGCCCAGTTTTATTGTGTTTTAATGTATTGTGCCTACTGTTTACTTTGCTTTATTTTGTTTTTAATTGTTGATTTGCTTGATTGTATTGTTATGTTGTGTTGTTGAGGCCTTGGCCTGTGTAAGCCGCATCGAATCCTTTGGGAGATGCTAGCGGGGTACAAATAAAGTTTAATAATAATAACAACATACAAACAAAACATCTAGTATGACACTTTCCCTCTAACTTCCACATACCTCAAGTGAGCATTTATTTTCTTTCCTTTACATTGTAATGTTAAATTGAAGGTTATCCTATGACCTATCCTATCTTGGCCCTGAAGGTGCTTCTTTTTATTCCTATTTTAAGAAAAAAAATATTTGTTCTTTTTCCAGAAAGTTGATAAATTTCTTCCTATTCATCTTGTCAGATGGTGATCTATTTTGAGATACTTTCTGAGTTAACTTTCTGATATACTTTCTGAGTTCCATGAGCTTTCTTGACTTTCCACATTCTCCATTTCCTACATAGAGAACAGGGAAGCAAATCTTGATGTATTTATTGGTGTGGATCACGTACACTAGGAAAGATTCCTTTTGTGCAAATCATCATAAAATGATGAAGCAGTGTTATTATATGGCACATATGAGAAACGTATGGCCCTCCAGATGTTGGACTACAACTCCTAGCATTACTATTGGCCATAATAATTGGGCATGATAGAAATTGGAGCCTTTGGAAGAATGTGCCTGGAGGACCTTTGGTACAGAAGGGCAAAGTAATAGATTTTTCAGAGCTGATTTAGTCCTTGATCATATAGAATAATCAAGCTACAGTAGATCAATTGTATTAATTTTTGAATGGTGTACTTTCACTGACTCAATGAGTCTTTGCTAATTGAGACTAGCAACTAGGTACCGGCTGTAGCATATGTAGAATATAAAAGTATTGCAAGGGACGAGTCAGTATCAGTCAATTCCCTTTAGTTTAGTATCAGAGGTCAATGGCTGGTCCATGTAAGTTCCCTTATACAGAAAGGATCACCATTGCATATGCAATTTCACATTTTGGACAGTGGGCCAATCTTCATTGCTGCCTTCAATGTGCCATTTCATTCAGTGGGATTGCAGAGACAGCATTTGCATATTTCCCATTGCACAAGAGGAAAAATAAGTGGGCACATGGGTAGATAAACTATTGGTTGCACTAAACAGGCTTTTAACAGAAGGATTGCGTACTGCAACCACCACTTCCCTATATGACTATAGATTTACATTATATCAGCATGAAACAGGATTTTAGCAAACATGAATTAAAGCCCATTTAAGTATTGATTGATTGAGTCAGCCATTCATTCAATCTTTACAGTTAAGGTCCATTTATATCATTGTTGCCATCATCATCAAGAAAGATTCCCCAATTTGTTAATTGTTAATAATGTAGATAATTTTAATGAATTTACTAATGCATTTAGAATGGGAAGGGTTTCTGCCACTTGTTAATTTGTTTTAATATCTGTGTCACTAATGTTTATGTTTATGGGTTGTTGTTGTTTTAAAAAACAGCTTTGAAAACCAAAGAACCCATTGGTGGATGACCTCCATAGGGAACTGGACAGGGGGAGTGTGACCCTGCTGGTTCTCTTGGACATCTCAGCAGCTTTCGATACCATCGACCATGGTATCCTTCTGGGGAGGCTTGCTGGGATGGGTCTTGGGGGCACGGTTCTTCTGTGGCTCCAGTCCTTCCTGGAGGGTCGTTCCCAGTCGGTGAAGCTGGGGGACTCCTGCTCGGACCCCTGGCCATCGACCTGTGGGGTCCCGCAATGATCCATTCTGTCCCCCATGCTTTTTAACATCTACATGAAACTGCTGGGAGAGGTCATCTGGAGTTTTGGAGTATGGTGTCATCTCTACGCAGATGACACCCAACTCCACTACTAATTTCCACCAGACTCCAAGGAAGCCCTAGGATACTGGACCAGTGCCTGGCCGCTGTGACGATCTGGATGAGGAGGAACAAGCTGAGTATCAATCCTGACAAGACAGAGGTCCTCCAGGTCAGTCGCCCATCTGATCGGGATATTGGGTAGCAACCTGTGCTGGAAGGGGTTGCACTCCCCCTGAAGTCACAGGTCCGCAGTTTGGGGGTTCTCCTGGACTCAGCGCTGTCGCTTGATGCAGGTGTCGGCGGTGGCCAGGAGGGCCCTCGCACAATTAAAACTCGTGAGCCAACTGCGACCATACCTCGTGAAGTCTGACTTGACCATGGTGGTCCATGCCTTAGTTATCTCTAGACTGGACTATTTCAATGCTCTCTATGTGGGGCTACCCTTGAAGATGGCCCGGAAATTACGACTTGTCCAGCGGTCAGCAGCCAGATTAATAACTGGGGCAACTTACAGGGAGTGGTCAACCCCCCTGTTTAAGGAGCTCCATTGGCTGCAGTTCATCTTCTGGTCCCAATTCAAGGTACAGGTTTTTACCTATAAAGCCCTAAATG